TTTATGATTTTATGATTTTTAGAATTTTTTATAGCTTAAACTCTTAACTTTCAGTTTAGTGTAGTTTCTTTCCATTTTTTTAGTTTCTAGTTTTTCGGGTTCTTCTAATTTTTTCCATTTTTTTCCAATTTCTTTCAGTTTTCCAACTATTCACATTTTGTTCAACTTTTTCTATTCCCTTAACAATGGCTCTGAAAATGATACGTTTTTCATGTATTATTATCATTACAATTACCAATTCATGACATCTTCCAGTTTTTCTTGAATTAATCCTTTGTTGTACAAAAAATATCTAAAAAATATCCAAAAGAAAAAAATATTATTATTATTATTATTATTATTATTATTATTATTATTATTATTATTATTATTATTATCCTGGATCCTAATGCTAATCTCTAACGTTATTTCCAAACAGGTCAAAAAAAAACTTTAAAAATGCCCAATAGAAAATTCATTTTTTTCATAATAAAATACGTTTGGTAATTGAAAAAAAACCTGTCGGAAAAGGGTAAGTTTTCTTATTGTTTTTTTGATGGCAGAGTAATTTTTGAAAATAAAGCTCACTTACCTTTTTTGTTGGGGCCTGTTTGGGAATAGCGTTAGAGATTAGCGTTAGCGTTTTCAAAATGCTATCTACGGGCAGCGTTTAGCGTTAGCGTTTTCAAATTAATCTGCACCGTTAAAATTTTATCCAAAACGCTAACGCTAATCTCTAACGCTATTCCCAAACAAGCCCTTGGTCTCAAAGAGAGAAGAAATAAACTTTAAAAGCGTCCAATAGAAAATTCAGTTTTTCATTAAATACGTTTGATCATTTCAAACAAAAAAAAATCGGAACTCCTCGGAAGATTAAGTTTCCGATGTGTTGCTGCCCAGGATCGAACTGGAGACCTTCAGTGTGTAAGACTGACGTGATAACCACTACACCACAGCAACCGTTGGCCGTCATTTGTTTTAACTACGGATATTTACTATGTCTAATATGGTTAAATAGATTGTAACCTCCTCTGATTTACTAATTCAAGTTTTTGTCTCTTTTGGTTTCAATTTTTGTCTCTTTTGATTTTTTTTCCTATATCACTTTTGTTTCAAACCACATGTATACTACAGAAATCAATGAGTTTATTGCAAAAAAACACTTGTAGTTTTGCAAAATGTGCACCTATATCTCTCATACTTTCGAAACTTATATTATTTTGCCTCATATTTTTGATATTATTACACCAATGCTTCTTTAGAAAAAAATATCCGTGAAATCTTAAATGAATAGCTCTGATGTCCTTGTGGTTTCACACATAGGAACCAACGCCTCCTCTTTTTTTCTTATAGTTTCTCTTTTTCTTCTCATTTTTTTCATAAATAGTTTCTCTTTTTATTCTCATTTTTTTCATAAACATTTTCAAGTTATTTTTTAAAACTATTTTTATATTTAAAAAATAAAAATCATTTTCGTTTGAAATAAAAAATTACATATACTTCATTCATCTCAAATTAAATAACTTCATTTTTTGCTTTAAAAATTTCTTCATTTTTTTGTGTAAAAAATGTTCTTAAATTGATATAGAAGGATTAATTAATAATTTATATTATTTAGTTAATTAGATATTTTAATAGTTTAACTAGATAGTTTAATTATTTTTATTTACTTTTTATTGTTGAGTGGAATTATAACACTCCTTCGAGAGTTTCTTTTCGGTTCTTTACCTCGACGCTTTTATTGAACCGACATGCTTAGGGATTAGGTGTTTGCTAGGGTTAGGGTTTACCATCTTCATCTATATATTGAGTTGTAATCCCCTTTAGAATATCATCAATGAAGAACAATAATATTATCTCTTCTAAACCCTAACTCTCTTAGCTTCTACCTTTCCTCTCTAGCCACACGGTTTTCTTCCTCACCTCCTCTACTTTCTCTCTTCTTCTCCCAAATTCTTTACTTTCTTTCTCCAATTTCTCAATCTCCTTTCCCTATTTGATAAGATACCGTATCATAAATTTATGGCTTTGTTTGGGAACAACATTTTCGATTAGCGTTAGCGTTTAGGATAAAATTTTAATGGTGTAGATTTATTCCGAAAACGCTAACTCTAAAAGCTACCGTCGGATAGCCTTTTCAAAACGCTAACGCTAATAGCTAACGTTGATGCCAAACGGGACCTATAGTAATGTTTGTTTTTCGACCAATGCCGAAAAAAGATTTCCAAAATAATTTCATTTTGCCTTTTCTATAAAGTATACTCCCTCCGTCAACAAATAAACTTCCCGTTGCGCGTAACGATGTTTGACTGAAGTTATTTTCATATCATTTTATAAATGAAAAATGGTGTGAAATTTTAAAATAAAAATTACATATTAAAAAATTATATCAAAAGATCTGCAAAACTAGAGGTAACATGACTATATTATTTTATCAAATTGGTGACGAAAATAGGCCAATAAAGTAAATAAAGTTTGACCATGTGAATAGTGAACGAGAAGTTTATTTGTGGACGGAGGGAGTATTTTCATATACTTTTCAATTTTTTCCTTTTTCTTTTCTATTATTTTTTCTTATATTTAGAAAAAGGAGATGAAAAGGAAGAAACAGATAAGAAAAAATATTTTTATTGAAAAGTGATAGAATTTAGGATGGGATATGGACAACTGGATTGGGCAATAAGACACTTGGGTTGAACCACATTAAAAGATTGAATCCAATCGATTAGTTAGTTTAACTCAAGAGCTTATATACCGGATTAGTTTACTCTTGAACTTCCGATTTGGGATGCACTTTAACACTCCCCCTCAAGTGGACAAACGGACCATTTTGAATCTAACCGATTGACCACTTGCAAATGAACTCTCATTCCCTTAAGTTTTTTTTGAGCGCCAACACCTAAAGGACCACGAGCCGTTGGGTATGGACTTCCAGACGAGCAATCGTGTTAAACGGGCCACAAGCTGTTGGGTACATACTCCATACGGACAACTGGGCTAAGATTAACGGGCCGCTAGGAATGAACGTCTAGACGGACACCTTGACAAACGAGGTGGGCCAAACCTGCTCTGATGACATGATAGAATTTAGGATGGGATATGGGCAACTGGATTGGGCAATAAGACACTTGGGTTGAACCACATTAAAAGATTGAAGCCAATCGATTAGTTAGTTTAACTCAAAAGCTTATATACCGGATTAGTTTACTCTTAAACTTTCGATGTGGGATGCACTTTAACAAAAAGGGTAAATGAATTCATGAAGGGAATCGGTTAGGCATGGGTCCATAAAATCCCTTAGTCTTTATTTTTTGGCCGATTGATTAAAAGAATTAGGACAAAAAATGAAAATGTTTAATTTGAGACAAAAGATGTATACATTAAATTTTTTATTTCATTTATTTTTTAGTTCAAACTAAAAAATGATTTTTATAATGCTCAAAATTTTTGTAAAGAACTTTAAACACTTTTTTTTTGTAAAAATGAGAAGAAAAAGGGGAGGGGGCATTGGTCCTCATTTCTAAAATTACAGGGGAACCAGAGCTACTCGATCACCTAAAATTTAATTTGAAGGTCATTTTAGTCTAGAGGAGCATTAACGTAGAAATATAAAAACTAAGAGGGGAATGATGCAATTTTTAAAAACATGGTGCATTTCCATTGACAGAAAAAGAAACCCCTAACTATCCCACCGGTGGCGCCAAAAATGATGGTGTAAATTACCACCCGCGCAAACTACTCTAGACCAGGTCTAGGGTGGTTTGTGGAGTTTAGATACTAAAAGGGCACAGAAAGAAAAGGTTGATCAGGAGGACTGTAGATGAGAGCACATGTAGTCCAATTGTTATTAAGTATGTGAAAAATACAGGGAGACATTACAGAAAATGTTTTTAGAGAGATGGGATCTGGATCCCTTCTACTAAGGGCTCCAATTCTATTTATAGTTAAGCTAGGGGACAAGTTGGCGAGTGCCCATGCCTGACCAGATGCCAGCCACGTGATGGCCTGACGCTTCTTTTATCTCATAGCGCTTGTCTCTTTCTCGTTGACTGTCTTCCACTGTGACTGTCCTCCATGGCGCGTAATGCTTGGGAAGGAATGTCTGGGAAAACTTGCGGGTGCAGAAGAATCCAGTCTGCCCAGTTGCTTCCAAGCCAATACCGGCGCTAGGCTATTACTACGCATGCAAATGTCCCCAAATCCCACTCGGGTGGTTTCTTGAGGAATGTCCGATCATCTGAAAATCCGTCATGTACCGCCATGGTACACGATTAGGTGGTCCAGTTGGGTCTGGCCTGAGCGGTGCCCGTATCATCTCGAACCATCCTGTTGCACACTGTCTGGGTTTTTCCCTGTCAACCCTAGATGAACGTGATGCAGGTCATGTCCTGGGTGAAATACACCCACCACACCTACAGATAACTCGGCACAATTCCATTATAGTCTGCCACTTTTTAACACTCTGAACTAAGGCTCCGGCACCATATGTTGAGACGGCACGTAACCTCAACCAACCCTGCATTTGTATGATATTGTCCGCTCTGACTAAGCCTCCACGAATTTACAATTTTTCTACTCGCAAGAAGCTCTATACTAATGGGTTGAATTCAACCTATTTATTTTGGTTTTGTCATCCTTTTCTTCCGCAGCGAGAGCTTTTGTTTGTATCCCAACAATCCTTTCCTAGTCCTAGAAAGCATAACATCTCACACTGTTTTCGCTGGGAGTCGAACCCGACCTCAAAATTATTTTTTGCTCTCCTATTAACCATTTGGTGACGAAGTAATGTTTTTCCAAATTGACTTTGGTGCGTTGTGTTGTATTAAAAAATGATGAGATCTCGAAGGGCTCCCTCGGAATCAATCAAACAATCACCTGCTCGTGGTATTGGCAAAGGCTTTGTGCAATTTTTAGGAATCAAATTCGGATCTACCTCTCTATAACAGGCAACACAGCCTTGTCATTGCGTTGTGTTGTATGATTTGTACGGGTCGGTATTAGACACGGACTGCTAGGTCGTACCCCACTTGTGGGGGCAGTCAGTCATGTGCGAATTGCTCGGCCAAACAAAAAATCATTTTGTTCTCTCTTGAATTGCTGTTGGTGGGGTTGGGGAAGAGGACAAGCTTTCCTTTCGATATATCCACCCTTTTATTTATTTATTTATTGGCTCCTTGGATCTAAAATACAAATTCAATTAATAATAAAAAAAAATAATCCATCAGTTTTTATTAAATTAATTAAGGTCGTCGTCTGTGATGGAAATTGATATTGGGGAATCGAATAATGAAAGCTGCAGAGGAGGGATGTGGGTTTTGGAGCAGAAGCTTGATCAGCCAATGGAAGAAGAAGCTGGGAAGCTCAAACTCATGCTCACTGAAAAGGTATGTATGTTAAAACATTATATACATTCCAGCATGCAGTAAAAAAATAAAAATAAACTTTGTTTGTTTATAACTGTAACAATACTTACTTTTTAAAAATCTACTCCATAGTGGAAATTTAATTAGCTTGATGTCAGTTTATTCTTCTTCTTCTTCTTCTTCTTTTAAGTCAGGAAGGAATAAATTATTGATGTTTCTTGGCCGGACTGGGTTTAAAAACTTAATTATCCCAAAATATAATTAATTTATGATTTGAAAAGTATTATTACTCCATATAATATAATGCATGTACACCTTGTTTGACAGCTGAGTTTGTTTGTTTCTATTACTCCCTTGATTCTAAAATAATCGTCTCAAAATAAATTTTACAATTTATTATATACTTTTAAAGAAAAGAATTTGTGACTCGGTTCATTTTTTACGTACTCTTTAATATAAGGTCGTATTTGACACAAAGTTATTACTTGTTACTTGTAAAAGTAGTGGTGATAGTCAGTTTGTAATTAATTAAGTCTTGTATTGATTGACATTACTCCCTACGTCTCACAAATTTTTTCTAGTTTTCACTTTTAAAGAATTTAAAGAGAGAATGTATTTTGATGTTGACTTTCCAAAAATGCCCTTGAATATGATGCCCTTTAATAGTAAAAAAATTGTGATGTGGTAGGTAGGTTAAGAATTAATAAGGATAAAGTGACTTTTTAAAAGAAATGAGAAAAGTTTTTTGGAAGGAGAAATATTTTTCAGTCTCTTTTTGTTTGTGATGAGTCTATGTCTCCATTTATAAAAAGTAGTGTGTCATGCACTACTCATGCTTGATGCTTACCATTTCACATGTTCAGTCTTTTCACACACGAAGTAATATTAACCACCTTTTTTAAGTTTATTTTATTATTTATAATCTCTGTTTGAATTTTAAAATGGGCATAACAAATTAAGAGAGACATTTTCCTTGATTTTGTAGATCTAATTGTAACCAAATACTCCGTATTATATTCATTAATTTTTTAAATGTAAATGTTCGAGTAAATAAATTCTAGATCTGGCTTCAACGTTGACTTTGAGTTCATACATGTTGCGTTGGTGTGTGTTATGGATAAACCTAGCAAAAAATGACCACACTTGTTTTTGACCTGAAACCCGACTCGAAAACAATGGGTTTTGAACAAAAGTTTTGGTGACCGAATCCGAAATTGATCAAACCCGAAATGACTTGCTAAAAATGGGTCAAACCCGATCAGACAAGAATCCGGCCTTACTGACCCGCTAATGTAAGAGTTTTTGAAAATCATATACTTTACTATGAGATATGATGTTATACAAATAAGGTTATAGTTATATTTTTTCTTACTACTCGTTTTTAGTGTATAAATTTAGATTTTCAGACAAAATTTTAGTGACCGAATCCGGAATTGATCAAACCGAAATGACTTGCTAAAAATGGTTCAAACCCGATCGGACAAGAACCCGACCTTACTGACCCGCTAATGTAAGAGTTTTTGAAAATCATATACTTTACTATGAGATATGATGTTATAAAAATAAGGTTATAGTTATATTTTTTCTTACTACTCGTTTTTAGTGTAAAAATTTAGATTTTCAGACAAAATTTTAATGATATTGCATAATTATCTTATTTTTTCCAAAACTTATACATTTTTAATTCTTTATATTGATTCATATTTCTAAAAATTACTTCAAATTTTAAAATAAAATAATATAATAGATTTAATACATATTTTTTTATTTTTTAATTTTATTTAATGCGAAAGGCAGGTATTAATATATATTTTAAAATTTTAAAAACTAAAATCATAACTTGTTGGGTCAAGCCGAACCCGATGACACTATGTCATGGATATAAAATTCTCAACCCAAACTCAGATTGATCTTATCCCGAAGTAACACGAATCCGATGTGACCGAACGATTTGTCAACTTTAGTTACGGAGCGAGTTACTTTTGAAAGAAAAATAGCTTAAATATTACTAAGACATACTCCCTTTTTTTCTAAAATAGTTGCTCATTCATTTTTTTAGTTAGTATCCATTCTCTATTCTTGGTTGTGCAGGAGCCTCTCTTATACATATATTCCACCATATATGTACTTCATAATTTAATGAGCAATATTTTTATTCTAATATTCCAAGATACATGGTATAGGATCCACCACTCTTGGTGGCCTAAAATCCTCTGTCTTCGCTCCTGGCGGGCGGCGGCGCCATTAGGCGCGCACCGGGCCGTTGTCTTCACCTTACTCCTAAAATAAAACTACAACATTTGGCCCAATTTTTTTGTTCTGCTTCAATTTTGCATCGATTATAAAATTGATGATGATACTTTTCTCTTAGTCTCTTTCTCATTCAATAAAAGGTTGTCTTGTAATAATCTCGGATTAACTTGTGTGTTGTGCCATGGATATCTAGTAGCACCAAAATTGGTTTTTGGAAATCCAGATCTCAGCCTGCATCTTTCATTAGCTTTATTTCAAAATTTGAATTGGGGTCCACTTTTTTCTTTCTCCAATCACTAATTCTTAATTATTAATCTCTCTTTCTATTTCTCTTCTATAGAACAAAAAACCTAAAACAAACCAAAACAAAAGCAAAGCAAGAGGGAAAATAGGGGAAGAGGACCAAATTCCCTCCAACAACCAACACTTAAAAAATCATAAAAGATTCCCATAATTGATAAAAGATTACTCCTTTGTACTCTAGCCAAGAAATAAAAATCTAGTGACCAAGAAACAGAGCATTGCCCAGATTTAAGAAAAAAATAAAGAATGTCTGGGATCTTCAGTCAAACATGCACCTCTGATAGCTTTCTCTTCTTCTTTGATGTCAGTAGCTATTAGTGCATGCCAGACTTCTCTCTTCTTCTTCGACCTCAGCCGCTACCAGCGCATGTCAGGCTTCTCTATTCTTCTTCGACGCCAGTAGCTATGAGTGCATGTCAGGTTTGTCTCTACCTTCTTCTTCGAGGTCAGCAGCTACCAGCGCACGTTAGCCTTATATCTTGTTCTTCGATGTTAGTAGCTACCAACGCACATTAGACTTCTCTTTTCTAAAGGTTTCCAGTTTCCAGCTAGTGTCTAAGCTTTCTCTTGCTTCAGTTAGACTCAGCTTGAGGGCAAATATTAGACAATAATAATAATAGTATTAAATATGACAATATTAGTTATGGTAGTGTTTGATTATTAGTCAGCTTCCTATTCCTATTTATGGTAGATGTATTTTACTATTTTATTTAAATTTCATTCTCTATTCTTGGTTGTGCAAGAGTCTCTCCTATATATATGTTCTATCATGTACTCCATAATTCAATGAGCAATATTTTTATTCTAATATTCAAACAAGAATAATGTTTTGCTCATATTTTAGGTTATTTCATGTTTTGTAATGAGAGAGTTAAGTATTTTAAATTCTTAAAGCATGCTTTTTAGAGTTGGAAAAAATTGTTGAATGTTGAAAAGAACTAGAAAAAACTGAATGAAACTAAAAAATTAGGAAAAATTATTAAAAATTTAGAAGAAGCTCAAAGGAATATGAAAAAAATGGAAGAAACATGAAAAAAACAGGAAGAAAATGAAAACAATTCCAAAAAAACTAGAAAAAACTTAAAAGATCAGAAAAAATAGAAGGAACTAGAAAGAGTTGGAAATACTCGAAAAAAATGAAAATGATTGTACTCTATAATCAAAATAAACCAACTGCTTCAAATTTCTTGCAAATTCTTTCAATGTTTTTAAACTTCTTCCATTTTATAGTCATATCACGTACTGCGTATTATTTCGCAAATCTTTTATGTTGTTTTCAACATAATTTTAAATTTTAGACTTTTTATGAATATTGAGATAAATTGAATTGAAAATAGCTTTAGTAAAAAAAAATGCAAATTGCAATGTACGAAGAAATTGTTTTTGGAATGCTAAGTGTCATGTAAATTAGTAGAGTTACTTTAATGGAATTGTTTTTACATATTACAGACAATAAAAACTATATTAAAAAAATTAACTACAAACAATAACACTACATTAAATAAAAAAAAGTATTAATTTTTATTTAGTTTTTAATTACTAGTTATATTCTTGGTTATTTGAATTTACTCTTTTGAACATTTTTTTCATTTTTTTCTTGTTCATAATGTAATTTTAAAAAGTCATATTTCCCCAAATTAATTTATAATTAATAAGAAATATCTTTGTATCCATAATTTTTGAAACATAATTTAGTGTCATGTAAATTAGTAGACAAAAAATATATATCACTCATGTTAAACATTGTATTATTTATATCAAGAAAAAATAATAATAAGTGTGAATCATAAAAATAGTGACTTAAAAACTGACAAATTGAGATAATTTATAAATTATAGATATGAACATAATAATTCTAAATAATAACACTAATGATGATGATGATGATGACGATGACGACGATGATGATAACCCTTTGTGATACTCTATAATTCCTTTAGAATCATTAAAATTTCAAGTTCTATTCTCTTTCAAATTTTCCCAAAGTAAGGTTTGCCTAATCTGATTTGATTTTTGGAAGATCTAGTCTGTTATTGGATTGGATTTGATACGATCTAATTAGATTTGATTTGGTATGATACTCAGATCTGATATGATTGGATCTGATTTGATCTGTTTGTCTTAATATTTCAAGATGTTTCTGATCTAATCTGATCTGGTTCAATCTGATCTGATTTTAGTAAGAATATGTAATAAATAGAAAAAAAAATAAATTGAACAAAACGGACCCTAGCTATGGTGTAAGTGCAGAGGTATATAAGATCAGGGCCGGATTTGCCCCCCCCCCCCCCAGATTTCTCGAAGTTCCCTTGGTCCGGCCGGCGGCAGCAGCTCGAAGAGGAAGGAGCAATTCCCGAAGAAGAAGAAGAAATCCCGTACGACGTCGTTTTTAAAAAGGGTTTAAAAAAATTCTTTTGGGCTTTGACCCAGCCCAAAAAAGTACGGAGTACTTTAAATTTCAGCCCCCAAAAAAAATTACGGAGGTATGTTTAGTTGATGAAATACGGAGTAGTGGAGTACCAGCCCAAAAAAAATAAGGAGGTCATGGAACTTGGAAATTTTTGAATATTGCTAAATTATGTTTTGAATTTTGAATATTTATTTTGTTTCGTGGTTCCAGTGTGTTTGTTGATATTTAAATATTTGATAAATGCTAATGTAATTCCAAGTTTTAGAGATTAAGATATACTCGTATGAAATTATTGTTTTAAAGTTATTTATATTTTATTTTGTTACTTTATTATTGAATCGGGAAATTTTGAGACGTGAGATGGATAAATTTGTTATTATTAGACAAAAGTTGGCATCTCGAAAACATTTTCTACGACCTCAAACAACTCTTACTCTTTTGCACAAATAGAAGGTATGTTTAGTTGCACTTTGCCAATTAAAGTAGTTACTATTATGAATTTTTTTATTTATTAAATGAATTCCCCCCCCCCCATAAAGTCTTCCCTGGCTCCGCCACTGTATAAGATTATTCCCCACACACCAAAAAAGTGAGAGAGTGTTAAGTGCTAACACTCCGACCGCCACCCTAGCCGAAAGTGTCTCCTCATAGGACTAAATTGGACCAACAAACAACAAAAGTCTTTTCCACACACTATCTTCATCATTGAAGTCTGTTTTTACAACTCAAACGAACGGAGCAGCATTGGACGTACTAATGACTCATACTTAGATACTATAAATCCAGACCCTACTCTCGTGAGATACAACTGGGTTGTTGTTGTTGTACGTACTTGAATACTATAAATACATTCTACTCACAATTCTTCAAAAAAGATTGTTACGGTATATTCTTTATGTATGTAAAATGTTTATGTGTCATTGCTAAATAGTACGACTACCTCCATCCAATTCTGGAATGTTTGCAGTCAAAATTGAAAAACTTTGACAACTTATTAGATAAAATTTATATCAGATATTGATAAAAATATAAATTTATTTGATTTATCTTGTAAAATATGTTTAAAATATTGTTTTATCTAATTAATATACCTTATAGTGTAAAATTTATTGAATTTTAGGTCAAAGGTTGATCTTGGTTGACTGTAAAAATCAAAATTGGTAAAATACTCTGATCCGAGGCTGAGAAAGAAAATAATACTATGATCTTTTTAGTTTTAATTCTATTTTGAATGTCTCAAAATCATCCCCCAATTTCTTTAATAGAAAATGAATTATATTGTATGATTTATATTATTTCTCAGTTCTTTCTATATGATCTTAAATGTAAACTTAGTGTCGCAACACAGAAAGTACCCTCTCTATTCCTACATAATTATCTATTATGACTGTTTAGATACATTAAAATGAAATAGACACAGAGATAATGTTTAACAACATAATAGATACTCCCTCCGTCCATGAAAACATGAAAGATTTTGATTTTTAAGGAATTTAAAGAAAGTCTATTTTGGTGTTGAGTTTTCAAAAATGTCCTTAGATATGATGGGTAAAAGTAGGATTTGATGGGTAGATTAATAGTGAATAGATGTGATGTTATAGGTAGGTCAAGAATTAGTAAGGGTAAAACTGACCTTTTAATAGGAATGAGAAATGTTTTTGAGACAGATGAAAAAAGAAAGGAGACAGATTTTCAGGAAGGGAAGGAGTAGTTTATAGTTATTTAGGAATGGGGGAAATATATATGTGATATTTTGGATGTGAAAGGTGAGTTTGTAAGTGAAGTTTAATTGAGTTGATGTATGCAGAAGTTCTCTTTGGTATTGCTATTGAGACTTGCATTTCAGAGCCTGGGAGTGGTGTATGGGGACTTGGGAACTTCTCCCTTGTATGTCTTCTACAACACATTTCCACATGGAATTGAAGACAGTGAAGATGTCATTGGGGCACTCTCTTTGATCATATACTCACTCACTCTCATACCTCTTCTCAAATATGTCTTCATCGTCTGTCGAGCAAGCGACAATGGCCAAGGTACGTACCCTATAACGTCTCGTATGGTAGAGAATAATTGTTTTGCCTAACTCGCTCTAAAAGAGCTCATTTATTCATATGAAACGATAAGCCGAACACGCATTGACGTGTTTAATGAGTGTACGTGTGTTGGTAGGTGGGACATTCGCATTGTATTCTTTGCTATGTCGACACGCGAAGATCAAAACGATCCCGAACCAGCACAGGACGGACGAAGAGCTAACGACTTACAGCCGCAACGCATTTCACGAACAGTCGTTGGCTGCAAAGACAAAGAGATGGCTGGAGGCATACGCATTCAGAAGCAATGCTGTGCTTATTCTGGTCCTTGTTGGTACTTGCATGGTTATTGGGGATGGTATTCTTACTCCTGCTATATCAGGTATATATATATTTTTTCAATTCCTACCTCTTAATTAAATTAACTAGATGAAGTGAAATGTAATTAACTAGATGAAGTGAAATGTATGTTTTTGTTGTCTAACATGCTCCTTCAATTCAATTCACGTGCATGCGAGAATTGTTTTTGTTTTTTACTTCAAATTTTGCACGCGAAGATTAATTTTTAATATATGGGTGACATTGGTATTCGAACTCATGACTTCTCTACGTCAACAAGCTAGGATTTTGTATTTTAAATACCCATAGTAACATGTTGGCATTTTTTTAAAACTAATAACTCTATTATAATACTCCCTCCGTCCCATGAAAAATGGGACTTTTGCTTTTTAGGAGGGATTTAAGGGAGTATATTTTGGTATTGAATTTCCAAAAATGTCCTTTGATGTGATGGGTAAAAGTATGATTTGATGGATAGATTATTAGTAAAAAGGTATGGTGTGATAGTTAGGGTATGAAAAAGTAAGGGGTAAAAGTGACTTTTTAATAGAAATGAGAAGTGTTTTGTGGGACGGATAAAAAAAGAAAGGAGAAAGGTTTCATGGGACGGAGGTAGTATTGTATTTGTTCATACATTTTCAACTCATTAAGTACGTATATTTATTACTAGGGGTGTTCAAAAATATCCGATCCGAAATATCTGTCCACGATCCGGAAAGATCCGATCCGAAAAATGGATATCCGATCCGAAATTTTAGCTTTCGGATATTTCGGATCAGATACCCGAGAAAAATCGGATCGGATATGGATTCAATTTCTGGATTTTTTTGGATAATCGGATATCCGATTTTTTTCTATATGTTTAATGAAATTTTATGGATATATATTATGACTATATGTTTAATGCAATTTTATGTTGATTTTAGAACTCGAACATTTTGGACATTTTGCATTAGCATTTTGGAACTTTTTGTTTTAGTAGTGCTTTTTTTTGGTTTGTTTAGGCAAAATTACCAAAGTTACTCCCAAATTGATTTTGGTATCATTTTTTATTAGGTCATTACATAGTGGTGGAATTTTGCTTTTAGTAAATCTATATTGAATTTGATATTGTGGGTTGATTTTGCTATTTTACCTTTTTTTGTAAATTTTGGCTAAAAAGTCAACTTTTCGGATGATCCAGTGATCCGATCCGGAAACTCGGATATCCAAATTTCGAATATCCTAATATTTTTGGATCGGATCGGATCGATCCGATTGAACACCCCTAGTTATTACCTTCATTGGGATCCAACATGTTAGCATTTTGTTAACAATGAAAGACAAACTAGTTTCAATGTGTTTTTTTATTATTATTGTATCTAGAAATATGGACAAAGAAATCGAGATGGGAATCTAATCGCTTGATATGTTTAACTAATAATGGAGATGCTTTCTTCAGTTCTTTCTGCTACCGGAGGGATCAAGGTGGTCCGTCCACAGATGAATAGTGGTACGTTGATCCAAAATTCAATTTACAAGCTAGATTTTAGTAGTACATTATATGGTTTATGAATTAGATAAATACAATATTTAGATAATGTGTAACAAGAGATGGATTGTAATTTATTGTCAATTTTATTGAATTTATAGTCAAAGTTTGGTAGCTATGTTTGTAAAAAGTGAAAACTGAACCAACCATCTGGGACAAAAATAGTAGTACAAATTCCTCATAAAATTTAAAAACTAACCCGGCACTTCATTTTGGGTAAAGTGCAATTCATTTAGGGGACGGAGGGAGTATTTAACTTTGTGAACACATACTCCCTCCGTTTGGAAAAACCCTTCCCATTTGATTTGAGGGCAAAAATAAGGAGGTATTAAATTATAGTTGATTTCCAATTTTGCCCCTGATGTGATGGGTAAAAGTAAGATGTGATGGATAGATTATTAGAGAAAAAGTATGATGTGATAGGTAGGGTATGAAAAAGTAAGGGTAAAAGTAGTTTTTTAATAGAAAGGGGAAGTGTTTTGTTGGAAGTGGAAAAAATGAAAGAGGAAGTGTTTATGAGAAGGGAGGGAGAGTAATATATATGTAAATGGGCATGCATGCAGATGTGGTGGTGCTGGTGGCAGTGCTCCTACTGATTGGGTTGTTCAGCATGCAACACTACGGCACAGGTAGACAAGGTAGGGTGGATGTTTGCCCCAGTGGTGCTTCTATGGTTCTTGTTGATCGGAGGCATTGGCATCTACAACATCTCCCACTACGATACCTCCGTTTTGAAGGCCTTCTCTCCCCTCTACATTTACCGTTACCTCAACAGTAGGGGTGGCAAAGACGACGCTTGGACCTCCCTCGGTGGAATCATGCTCAGCATCACAGGTTAATTAGTTTCCCAAATTGCGTGCGTCAATGTATAATGCCGAAAAACACATAATGTTTATTAGCGATGAAAAAAAACAGAAGATCGAGGTTTTGTTTTGGTTCAGGCCGTTCGTTCTATAGACGATTACGGGTTCGAATCAGACCAGATTATTCAACGAGTTTTCAATTAATGTGTTGCAGGAACAGAGGCACTTTTTGCGGATCTTTCTTATTTTCCCCTACCAGCAATTCAACTGGCGTTTACAATCATCGTCTTTCCCTGCCTTCTCTTGGCATACTGTGGCCAAGCGGCCTACCTCATCAACAATAAAGAACATGTCGTCGATGCGTTCGATCGTTCCATTCCAGGTTTCAAATATATGTAGTGAAATCTGCACTGAATAGGACCAAAACATAATAAGTTATTTCTCAATGTAGGACTTAACCTTTTTTATTTCCTAAATTGGATTTAATAATGACTAGTGAGAAGAAGAATAATGTCCAAGTGATACTGGACATTTAGTTGAATAATGACTAATAGATAATGACCCATGATCCTACATTTATTAGGAAATAAAAACATATGTGAAAGACAGAATTGAGTCGAAATATTTTTTATTATTTGGTTGTACGTGTGTGCAGAGAGCATATATTGGCCTGTTTTTGTTGTGGCCACAATGGCTGCCATAGTTGCAAGCCAAGCCGTAATATCGGCTACATTTTCAATAATCAAGCAAGCACTTGCACTGGGGTGTTTCCCCAGAGTGAAGGTTGTCCACACGTCCAAGAAGTTCCTGGGGCAGGTATACATCCCGGATATCAACTGGGTCTTCATGCTTCTGTGCATAGCCGTGACGGCCGGGTTCAAGAACCAGAGCCAAATCGGCAACGCCTACGGCACCGCCGTGGTCATAGTCATGCTCGTCACCACCCTCCTCATGGTCCTCGTCATGCTCTTGGTTTGGCATTGCCATTGGACCCTCGTCGTGGCCTTCACCGGCTTGTCTCTTTTCATCGAGTGCACCTACTTCTCCGCCGTCCTCTTTAAGGTCGACCAGGGCGGGTGGGTCCCGCTCGCCATCGCCGCCACGTTCCTCGCGATCATGTACGTCTGGCACTACGGGACGGTGAAGCGGTACGAGTTCGAGCTCCACAGCAAGGTGTCGATGGCCTGGATTCTCGGGCTTGGGCCGAGCCTGGGCCTGGTCCGGGTCCCGGGAATCGGGCTCGTCTACACCGAGCTGGCGAGCGGGGTCCCGCACATCTTCTCGCACTTGATCACGAACCTCCCCGCCACCCACTCGACTGTGGTGTTCGTGTGCGTCAAGTACCTCCCGGTGTACACGGTCCCGGAGGACGAGCGGTTCCTCGTCCGGCGCATCGGCCCGAAGAACTTCCGCATGTTCCGTTGCGTCGCGAGGTTCGGCTACAAGGACCTCCACAAGAAGGACGACGAGTTCGAGAGGAAGCTATTCGACAACTTGTTTATGTTCGTTCGGCTCGAGACGATGATGGAAGGCTACTCGGACTCCGACGGGTACGGGGGGCGGGGTCTCGTGTCGGACGGGGACACGTACACGAGCACCGCCCCCTCGGTGGCGGCAGAGTCCGTAGTGGCCATGGGCTCCGGCGGAGCGGTGGAGGGGGACGATTATGATGAACTCGAGTTGCTGAATGCCGGTAGGGAGGCTGGGGTGGTGCACATACTGGGGAACACGGTGGTGAGAGCCCGGAGAGATTCTCCGTTTTACAAGAAAATTGCCATTGACTATGTGTATGCTTTCCTCAGGAAAATATGCAGGGAAAACAGTGCCATTTTCAATTTGCCTCATGAGAGCCTCTTGAACGTTGGACAAATCATTCGTGTCTAGCTGTTTGGTTTCTTTCTCTGAGTAAAATATAATTTTCAACTTCTTGGATGACAAATCCATGGCATTATCTTTTCTATTTACTCTCTGCAAAATAATGGGGTATTGTAAATATTTCTTCATTCTCAATTTAAAGAACCGGAGTATGTATAACCAAACTTTAATCACTTTATTTATTTATTTATATATTCTATGCATTTGAAAAAATATTATAATCATAATATCTCTTGATTCATAAATTATTTGAGAACGTTCTTAAATAAGTCTATTCATCCCATAAAAAAGAATATTTTCTTTTTCATTTATCCCATAAAAAGATTTCACAATCCACTTTTTAAAAAAATTTGTGATCTTTAAAATTTTTTTCTCTAAATCACTACCAACTATACAATTTCACTTTTTTTCCTTGTGTCGGGTCAATGGTGGGGCCTTTTATTGGGACACATGGGAATTTTTTTAGTTCCACACTAATTTTATATAGTTCGATTTAAAAGTAGCTTCAATGAAATATCATAAACAAACAGCTTAAATTGGGATAAAGGAAATACTACATAAAATTATTTCAATTAGCTCATTTTTCTACTTAAATTTTATCCACAAGATTTTATATGGTGTAGATTTTTTAAAACGGCAATTTGTCAAAGGAGTTTGCAAGGGGTACATCGGCATATGTTTACCAATTATACAAGAAATCAATTGTATGTGGGTCACAAACAATTAGTTTACCAATGCTAGTGTACCCCTAGCTTCTTTTTTTTTTTTTTTTGTAAAATGCAACTTCAAAATGGAGAAGGTATTAAACAAGTAGATGAAGCAGATACATTGCTTGAAAGTCCACCTGAATTTGGTGTAGAAGGATTGACTATTGATATAGATCAGCAAAAGGCACAAAATTTTCCTTCTAAAAAGAGTTTTGAAACAAAAAAACAACCAAAGTGTAAAAAAATTTAAAACGAAGTCAGCTAAAATGACCAATAAATTAGTCAAAAAAAAAATGACCAATAAATAATAATGCCATTCAACATTTTAAAACCCAAAAAAAAAAAAGACATGCTACTTTCTTGTGTTTCCTATCACCCACCACGCTGTTGTACTCACTAAATACAACAATAGCTTTCACCGCAAAGCAATTCCTTTCAACATCAAGTGAAGACCCTATAAGAAGGAAAAAGCAAAGTCCAACAAACCGTGAATCAACACGAACAAGCTCTTTGAGCTTTTCTGTTCCTATCCACCCAACCATCTGTATCAAGAAATAGAGCAAAACCAATTGTATTCATTTGAACATTACCAGACGGGAAGGGAGAAAAAACATAATCATCCCACAAAATATGGGGTGGTGTACCTTTCTTTTTAGATCAGAGTCAGTTGGAGGACAGGACGGTTCGGCTGAGGTTCTACTACCTCCAAGTGTACCCTCACAGTTTGGAGGATGCCATAAGAAGCGGTGCCATCTGACTTCTTGATCCTCTGTTCATTCTCATCAGCCAACCATTCCCCTGACTTGTCACCTCGTGAAGTCAAGTGCACTGGTCCTTCAATCCCATACCTGCACACATTGTGGTCCAAATGTTTCGGTTGGAGTTTCTCGGGATATGTTCTAGAACGACAGAGTAGGCCCTTTATCTGATGGTCATGAGTGTTGTTAAATAGATTTGGTACACAGGAAATCGTTTCTCCGTAATTAGGCTCCATTTGGTACACGGAATTGAAATTGAATTCGAATTGAAATTGGATGGAAATTGATTCTCCCATTCCAATTCATATTTTGCGCTGCCAATTCCAAATCCACATATATTTTGTGCTACCAAACAGTAGAATTGGAATTGAAGTCTCCAATTCCAATTCCATGGTTTGAACTTCGTGTACCAAGCAGAGCCTTACATGTTTTCCTATGAAAAGTGTTTTCTATTGAGGGAAACAATTTCCAGTGTTGAGATAATGGGGAAATATGGGAAGAGTTTCCCAAACACTAGGGGAAAGAAAAGAAAATGATATTAATTCCTTTGAAAACATATGTCATGGAAATGCCTTTTCTCGGGAAAATGAATTTCCTCTGTATGTTTGGTCCGGAGAAATAGGAAAGAAAAGAAAATGATAAGGAAAAGTAAGTCAAAGAAACCAAAAATTCTAATTTCATTTGGTGGTAAGGAAAATATTTTTCAATAACTCTAGTTTGGTTGTTGTAGAGAAAAGAAGGAATACATGGTGGAGAGGAGGGGGAAGTGGGGACCTTGGGAGGGAGGCCTTTTGTGTTCTCTTCTTTTCATAAAAGAAATATGGAGGGAAAATCACTTTGCCAATTTTACGTGTATATTTTCTTCACCTTTACTTTTCCTCCTGTTTTTTTTTTCCTTCCAAACCAAACACCAAAATTGATTTTCCCTGCCATTTTCTTTTCTGTTCCCTTCCGAATTCCATGAACCAAACAGTGTGAAGGTTTTGTTTAAAGAGGTTTCATATACTCCCGTACAATTTGTGACATTTCATATGCGTGTGAATCACATAAATTTTTTTAAGTACATTTCAAAATAGAAATCTTTATATACAGCAAAACAAATTGTACTCCATAATGAGAAAGCATTGGTTAATACAGAGTATATAACGAAGCACCGTCAATGGGTGATACACTGAAACTAAAACCAATCCATAATAGTACTCTGTAATAGAGAAATGAAGTTGCAAAACATACTTGGGCACAAAAACGATGAATCCATTGTTTCTTATTTTCAGAATTCTAGCTTCTGTGTCTGTGGGGCTGCAAAGAGCACAGACAAGTATTTGGAAGAGTAATGAATGACAAAAGAGAAGTAGGGAAAAATGCAAACATACTTCTTTCGGAAGAAAATAACAGTATGGAGCTCGACTGATGCCCTGCTGGCCATCTGTGCGTTCCTGTGCCGATAGTTCAGATCTGTCCCAAACAGGGAAGATTAGTAAGCTGAAAATACGGCACTGCAGAAAAGAGAAGGGATCTAGAACCACCAAAAAAATTATATCCAAACAGAAACTTCATACATCTGACTAAGGCTACTGAGTCTTATAAATTAAAACACGGTAAAAATGGGGAGTAAGTTGCGGCAAGAATGTCTTCATCCTCATTCCTTACAGAGATTGGTAGGATGAAAGCTAATGTCAATTCAAACTCAATTCATGCAAAAACATAAGGCAGATGTTTACAGCCCGGAGTCCATGTCACAACCCTTATCACGAAAAAACAATGCGATGAATATCTTAAACCATCATCATCAAAGTCACTTCCCCTTGCATGCAAAATTTCATGAGTGACAAGTTAAGGTAGTTTCTAAAATCATGCTCCTTTTTTTGAGGGAAAAATCATGCTTCTTTACAAAATAGATATTGTATATTTGACCTGTAAGTAAAGAAACATGATGAATTCATAGCTAATGTCCACACACAAAAAATAAAAATGCAACCAAGTTCATCCACAGGTTAAATTTTGCCGGAAAATATAGAATACAATAGAAAATCATATTGTGTTTATCTGGCACCTAAAAGCAGCAAGCACATCAAAAGAACTAGAGGTAGAAATGTTAAAATATCCCAGCAAAAATTAGTTACTCCCTCCGTCCTAAAACTATCTTCCCTCTTTGACCGAGGTCATTTTTAAGAAAGTGTAAAAATTGTCTTGACTTTCCCGAATGTCCCTAAGCTCTTCTACTCAACTCAGCAATGCACAAATCTAAAATGAACCAACTCTTCTACTCCACCCAACATCTCTTCCAGAATACACAACAAGAGTAACCAAATCACATTCTAAAAGGAAAATAAAACTTGAAAGTATATTTAAAGTGCATCTTGCAAACAAGTCTAAAAGGAAATAAAGGATTCTTGCAACTCAAACCAGGGTGACAGAAATCAGGGCCTGTAAACAAATCCGAACAAATTGGTTCTCGCAAACAAATCGATTCATGCTGCGCCGCAAAAATTGCAAAATAGAGTCCATTTCTTGAGTGGCGACCAAAACCACAGTAACTTCAGGGGAGCCCCATTTTGATATCTGCTATAGGAACTTTGCTGGAGCTCGTCAATCATCTTCGACGCTCATCAATTGTCGGGAAATTTGAAGCTCATCCATCATTAAATATGGAGTTCATCATCGCCAGGTCTGCTCCCCCCTCACCCCTCACCGTTTGAGGGCAACAAAGAAGAGGAAATTATTTCTTTTCGACGAAATGAAGAGAAAGATGAAGAGAAAAGATGAGGAAGAGAGGAGAAATGGAGAAAAAGGAGACAAAAATCGATTGTAAGAAAATAGAGAATGATGAGGAAGAAGGGAAATGAAGAGAATGGCCCAATTTAACATCAAAGAGAAAAAGAGACTTTTATCCTTGATTTATTTTCCATATAGATAAATTGGAAGATAATTTTAGGCCAGCCCAAAAACAAAGTGGGAAAACTTAGGACGGAGGGAGTATTTCGTATAACAAAACAATGCACTCCCTCTGTCCCTAAAACAACTTCATATCCACTATTCAGTGGTCAAACTTTATCTTCCCTTCTTATTTTCTTTAATCATTTCTTAAAATAAAATAGTCAACTAATATCTTGTTGATAAATTTTATTTTCAAATTTTACACTAATAATCTAATATCTAAATAAGTCAAAAATAATTCCATCCAACTATCATAATCTGCAACAAAAACTTCTTTTAGGAATGGAGTGAGTGTAACAACAACAACAACCTAGTACGATCCCACAAAAGTAGGGTCTAGGAGTGTATACTAGGATATAGCAAAGCAGGTTACTTACTTTCAGCAACATTAGTAAGCTCGCCTTTGGAGTAAAAAACCTCAGGAAGTTTGCAAATGCCCATGGACGCTGCAAGCAATCTGTGGACAATGACATCTGGAAGGGTATCAGATAGCATTACATATGATATTTTTAATCATATAACTGGAACCACTTGTGACTAGAGATTTCACTTGCCTGCGTATCTTCTTATCGGAGAGGTGAAATGTGTATAAAGTGGGGTTGCAAGACCGTAATGACAAAATTCAGGTGGACTAAGATCTCCACTGCAAAAGTAAACTGCCTGAAAATTCCAAAACAAGAAAACATATTAGAAACTTGTTTCCAGCACCACTAAAATGATTGTCCTGGGAAAATTACATAAATTATTAATAACAATATTAATAAATAATACTCCATCTGTCCCATAGTTCTGTTCTCTTTTCTATTTGGGTCGTCTCAAAATTTGGTTACTCTTTTTCAAGAAAAGATTGTGGTTGAAATTATCTCTCTCCACTAAAGAAATTTCAACCAGACAATGTATATTTATTAAAAAGCAAGCCAATTCAAAACATGAAAATAATTATGGAACGGGAGGACTAATAATCAAGGAAGAGTACCTGTGTCATGCATCTGGTTGCTAATATCCGAATAAGCTTATTGAGGTATGGATCGGTACCCTGATAAATGGAGATGAAAAAAAAAATTAATAAGGCACTATAGTATTCTAAGTAGAGAGATGGATATGAGGTCTAGGCAACACATAAGTTTCTGCAAAATCCTTGCATAAGCAGTCCTAGTAAGGCAAGTCTTGGGTATTCACTAGTACCTCAAACTAAATTAACATATATTTGATTCCAAACTCTTAGGCTGGTGGAATGATGCAGCATGTGGCTGAGGCAAGCTGATGCACAGACCACTATTGTTTCTTATTCCAGTTATGCTTTTAAATGTATTGCTATCCTTACAGCTCAATAATTCTGAATGCCTTCGTTTTATATCAGGTTTCAATTATTAAAGTCCAGAGATATCCATATATTATATACACTTGTTCCGTACAAACTTTCATTGCTTAATTATTATGTAAGGATGGGATACAAAGACTCCAAACCATAGGTTCCATGGCGCCAAGAAGAGGAGAGACGCCAGCGCAACGCAAGGACGCCTAGTCATAAATTATAAAAAATATAGTAACATTATGAAACTATACTCTATAATAATTAATATTCCATATATGATATTGTTATTCATGTCCTAATGTCCATTTGAAACAAAAGAAAACAGAATACATATTATGCCGCTGCTTTTTAACAAAACTAATTGTAATAATAATTCTTAAAAGTCTTAATTATTTATTCTATACTTCATTGAAAAATAAAGATAAAGACAGCTATTTAAGAGTTGGGCCACGGAGTCTAGACAAGGAATAGTTGATCAATTTCAAAGCGGATCTATGGTCCAAGGCACTTAACTCACAGGTTACAAAGAAAAAAGAAAGGAAAAAAAACAAAAAAAAGGTTAAAAGAGTTGAAGTTAAACAGGGGCACTAGGCACTTGAGACCAGGACGCCATCCGGTCTATTAAAACAAACAAAAAAAGAGAGAAAAAAAAAGAAAGACAAGAGTGAACCACAATTGAAGCGGGAGGGTGAGGACCTAGCGATCCTAGGATTAAGCAGAGGATCCCACTCGATCTGCTCTCGGCTAGGAGGTTATGACGGAGGTAGGGTTTTTATTTTATAACTTGGGTTTGGGCAACTGCTATTTAAAAAAGCTTTCCTATTTCATGGTGTCTAGTCGTTTGTCAAAGGACACCTGGACACCTAGTCGTCCACCAACCGGCGCCTAGACGAGGTAGGCGAAAAAAGGCGAGTCGATACACCATGGCTAGAGGAGCTGGCCAGCGTGACAAATATACTCCCTACTCAAATCAATGAAAAAACTCAAGTTGTTCCGTAACAAGCCACTCATGTTTCAAAAGTAATGGAAGAATCCAATCCTAGAATTCATATTTTAGTTACGCCTTACAATATCCTTATAGACACAACTCACCACAGCACGATCAAGAGAATCAGCAAGTGCTTTTGATGAAGTCGTATCCAATTCAATGCCAACAGATGCAGCTGTTCGGATCAGGGGTTCAAGCATCTCCTTAGTTGGGATGGGATGACGTCTGCAAATAATACAATTAGTAAGGCAATATACATCGCAATCCCAGTGGTGCTAAAAAAATCCATTATGGACAATATTTTAGATTCGGGTAAATAATGGGTTAAATCAAATGGCATGTTAAACTTCCTTTGATAATTACTTTTAGTTTAAACAGACCATTCAAACTAGCAATTGTTCTAAACCTTAATCTATATCCATTTCCTGTGGAGCAAAAAGAAACACTTTTACCATGTTTTAGATTTGGGCTACTATTGGACTAAATCAAAATGGTGATTTAAGCTTCCCTTGCTTTGTACTTGCTATGAAGTCTTGAGCAGTTCATGCAGCAATATATCAAAAGCGTAAAGGAAAAAGCCTCTATTTTTTCAAAGAGGTAAGGTTGTGTACATGACCCCCAACGGAATTTGGATTATAGTGTTTGTTTTTGGTTTTAGTTAAACTTTTAATCTAACATTAGATTTTTAATACATTATTCTCTAATAGCTTCTTCTTTTTCTAAGTAGACTATATTAGAAAATAGGACACACCGCCAACCTTCTTCACAATGACCTATGGTATTGACAATTGAGTATCCTTAAAACTACTTTGTTCATCTTTACCACATTAAATAACACATTCTATAATCAATATCCATCTTTTTTAACAGGCTAGAGCACAGAATAATTTTTCTCAGCAGTGCTTTTCTATCATTAGTTGCTGCCAGAGCACTTCATTTCTTGCCTGTAACTATCTGAGGCTAAATCAACATGCTAATAAATTGTCTAGAAAAAAATGATACCTTAATAGTGAGCAGGTTGGATAATGGTTTAGGATCTTTTCAGCAACTGAAATATTGGCAGCAAGCATGAACTCTTCAACCATTTGATTAGCTTCGCGAATTTGATACATTCCTGCATATAATTTATTTATTATCATCTGGGAAAGTGGAAATTGCATAATCTGTGAAACGATTGTGGAAGACCAGATGAAGTGGAGAATTGCACCCTACCCATCCTTATTACATTAATTGTTTATACAAAGATTTAATTCCCTTGGCGAGATTAAAAATTGGTTGGTCAAAATGAAAAATGGGCTAGATTTGATGGCATTGTAACTTAATATGCTGAATTATCTAAACATATATTTATGATACTTCCCCCGATTTTGTTTAGTTGTTGAAATACGCTTCTACTCCTGTTTTATGGCTTAACGTGATAGGGGTATTGTATAGAGTACATATATCAATTAAAGGGAGAGAATATGTACAGCTAAGGGGCCATTTGGGAAGGGGGGAATTGACTTTGAAGTCATTTTTCCCCATTTTCTGGTGTTTGACGGGAACAAAAATTAGAGTTAAATGAAAATAAACTCCAGTCAAGCTGAAAATGCACTCCCAAATCAGGAAATTGACTTCCGGATAAAATTCTCGGCTCATTTTCTGTTCTTATCTCTCCATTAGTTCTGGCTCTTTGGCTCTTTTCAATCGGCTCATTTTCTGTTCTTATCTCGTCACAGTGTGTCTCGGACACGCGTGGACTCCACAATCTCTCCCTATCTCAGCTACCTTTGAGGCAGTATCCACTGCATCGTTGCAAGCATTGTCAGAATAGCTCCCCCCCCCCGGAAAGACAGGCAGACCGCCTGTAAGTGCCTCAAGGCCGCCATCGTCCATACACCCATCAAAGCTGATATTGCCCTTGGCCTTGCAGATGGCTGTGGAGTTCCTACGTGTGTATTGCATTGACTTTGGTTTGGTTTGGTTTTGATTTTGGTTTAATTTTGCATTGACTTTCATTCGATGGGATGTTTCTACCATTGCAATCAAGTTTTTGGGCAATGAATTGATTAATTGCATGGATTTTAGTTTGATTTCTGCTTCCAAATAATTACTTGTTTTCCGCAAAATGATCCAAATAGAAATAGGTAGTTCTCATACTTTCAACAAGACATCCGAAAAGGAAAATGACTTACGGAAAATAACTCATTTTCAAGAAGTCATTTTATACAAGTCATTTTCCCTATTTCCATATGGACCCTAAGTATATTGATGTCAGTTTTCAAGCTTTTATTTTCTAAAAAGGGAAAGTCACGAAAGTGCAGTTTTTTAATTACTCCCTCCCTGCGCACACAAATTTATGCACCTTGACATTTTGACAATGGTATTGACTTTCCCAAAATACCCTTCCAGTCTTCTGTTCGTCTCTTTTGTATTCCCACCTCACGCATCTCCTTCAATGACCATGACCACCAAATTAGAGTTTCTCACACTTCGATCTAGCTTAGGGAATTGGGGGAATCTGAAATTGAAGACAAGAATCTGAATGGGGGAATCTGAAATCAGACTTCCTCACACACAACCTTTGGTGGCCACTTCATAGGTGAAGACGGGATTCCGTCAGCGACGGACTATTCCTCCGGCTGTAAAGTGTCTCCAAATGCCGCAGCGATGTTGCCTTCATGTCTGTTTAGACCTTGGTATTCAATCAGATCATGTGGCGAGGTTAGAGGCGGCAACGATGAAGGATGTGCAGACACGTAGAGGAAGAAAGATTGTGTGGTGTACTGGTGTTGTTAGAAGAGAAAAAGATCGAGATGTAGGGTTGGAGGGGGAGAAGGGTAAGGGATAAGGTCAATTTCTTTTGAGGGTGAATATAACTTTTAACTCAAAACTGTTTGCCAAGTAAGGAAATAAGAAGAAACTTTGTGGACATTTAAAAAAGGAAAGTGGGAAAAAAATTAGATGTTATTTTTTTTCCTACTCCCTCCGTCCATTAACATCTAAAAGGCAAGGGTAGTGTTTTTTGTCTTCATTTTAACAAAATAACATACAGTACTTTTCTCATTTCAAGTCTCTGCTGCTAATGCAACCAAATGGTTTGTTAATGTGCTGGAAATGTGAGTAATGATGCTAATAAATAAAGCTACAAAAAAGCAACCAAACTATAGTCTCAAATCAAAGGGTAAGCTACATGAACCATTTTAAAACAAATGTAAGATCCTTCAACCATCAAAACCTTCATTTTCCTTTCCTTTATCCCACGTATAATAGGCTCGTTAAGCCATAATGCTCCAATACCACTTTTTACACTTTCCACTCATGTCATTTTTGTCCCACCATGGCTTCTTTTTAGTTCTTCCACATTCCAGGACTTCATTCTTCATAACAGATAACTTAGTAATTGATGACTAAGTGACATGTCTGAACCAATGTTACTAGTTCTCTCTTTATCTTCTGTAGTTGCTTCACCAAATCTCTTGTGAATCTCATGGTTTTGCAAGCTACCATTTCTAATTTTACAGCATGTCTATCACCACCAACTCTTCTCTTCGTTAAATCTTTCTTGAGTTTCTTCATTTATATACATAATGATCTGTGTGTATTAATGAGCATGCCTCATAGAAGCCTCATAAATTTTCCTTTATCTTCAATAGCTCTCCCACAAATATGTTCGTTGTGCACTCTAGCTTTGGTCTTGCCATCTTAACGCATTCACTTCACCATTACCCTCATTTTCTTAGATAATCTCTTTTCATTGATCTACACTATGTTCCATATAATAAATCATGTCCAATAATTATAAAAGCCTTTGGTTTCTTGGAAACAGCCTCTCTACTTTCGGGTAGGGGCAAGGTCTGCGTACGCACACCCTCCCGGGACCCTACTTTCGTGGCATCCAACTGGGTTGTTGTTGTTGTCCAATAAAAGCCTTTTCAACTTGTCTATTAAGTCTTAAGATACATTATGAATTCTTAGAATCCATGCCGCTAACCCAATAGTTACTTGGAGCAGGCATATTAAACTTCCTAATGCACAAACCAATAGGGCCCAAAGGGAGATATGTTGAGGGGTGCTTAAGAGCTTAATGCATGTATCATGCAATGATAAAAATCTTTGGATGTCAACATTTCAGGAATTGCCTGAGTAATGATCATCAAAATTGAACAATCAAGACTCCGTTTTGTTTGTTTATCCTAGTCATCAATGTATAATCGCAAGTACTTTTTGTTAATTTTAAATTTTTTTACAGTCCTAAGAGGCTTATGAAAAGTTGCTTTGGATTTACTCCCATTAGCTGTTCACAGAGCTCATCATAACATGTGAAAGTAGTGTTTCAAAGGGCATTTATTAAGTTCTCTTAGAAGTTGTTTTGTACCATTAGAAAAAATGATTACATTTCAATACATTAATATGTATCCAAAATCTGAAACTAGACCATAGGGCCCACATTTAGTTCAATCCACATCATTACTAGATTATATAATAACATTTTACAGAACTCTTTAAAGAAAGATCAACATACCGATATCAAGAGGATCATGAGTTTCAGTATCAATTTGAAATTTAACTTCAGCAGATGCAAGCGTCAGAGCACCCCTCTCAATACGTCTTTGCCTCATTATCTGCAGGATAAGGTCAACTCACCAATAGATTTTATGAAATTTCAAATAGCATTTCTAACTACTGTTTTATAATAACTGAGCTCTTGAAAGAAGTGGTAAGAAACAAAACCTTTGATAATGCATTCATATTACGCAAATCTGTTGTTACTGGATCGACCAAGCGACTACAACGCATAGAAGAAACCATAAGCATGGGAACTAGGTGAAGGTAAGAATCACGAAACACAAAAAACCAAAAAAAAAAAATTGCATACGATTTATGTCCACATAACAGACCTGCACCAAACTTGATATTTAGTCTTTTATTTAATATTTTGCAAAACAAGAACAGAGTGATTAATGTTTTTGGGGCAAGTTGGGAATGAGCTGAAACTAAAAGCACATGCAACGTTGATAATGTAATCTATATAAAGCAAAGTTAAAAAAAACAAATAGAAACAGACCAACACAAATGGATAAAAACATGCCAATTGCATACTCATAAAAATAACAAAACTCGTACTCCCTCCGTCCCACAAAAGTGATCGACACTTGACTAGACACGGATATTAAGAGTAGTGAAATTGTGTTGTGAGTGGTGCAGAGGAGGGAGATATAATACAACAAACAAGAACAACAACCCAGTTGAATCCCACAAAATAAGGTCTGGGGAGGGTGTGTGTGCGGACCTTACCCCTACTTGAAAGTAGAGAGGCTGTTTCCAAAGAGACCCCAGCTCAACGTCGAAAGTTGCATTGATTGGAAAGTGGAAAGTGAAACTTTTTTTGGGGACGGATGAAAAAGGAAATGTGGAACCTTTTTGTGGGATGGAGGGAGTATAATCTAATCTTGTATCAGTTAAATTCGTAAGACACACACTTTCCACTGCATGTGACCAAACAACAGCTCTAAAATTGGATCAATACATGAGAAAATCATCATCATCGTTGCTGCTACTTAATCCCAACTATGTTCAGGTTGATGGAATACAAGTTAAACTCATTGATGGAATTCTAGACCTAGGGTAAGGGTAGTAGAAACCCTAAATCTAGACACCATTAGAGAGAAGAAAGGATTAGTAGCGATAAGAAAAAAAATGGGTAATGTCTATTAGGGTTACTACTCCACCGGTGTTAGGGGGAGTATATATAATAAATACAAAGTAAAATGAGCTTTGGCCCAAATAAGGGTACAATGTTGGGTCGCAGCCCAACGCACACTACCCAAAACCTAAATAAATAACTAATCTTACTAAGTAATGAAAAGTTGTGTGCTGATGAGCCAAGCCCCAAACAAAGACGAGCCTGCAAGTGGTGAGGCTTGAGGCTGAGCATCACCAAAGTCTAGGACAAGGACAAGGCCAAGCTCCGCCTCAGCAAGTTCAAACCCTTGTCTTTGATTATTACTTGCTTATGGGCCCCGTGGGGAGGATCTAGGCCCAATATATCCATCACTCATCACTGATCATTCAGTGTGAATGCATGAAAATAAATTGTGCACACATACTTTCTGGAAAATGTTTTCCTTGAATTAAAAAATCATTGGAAGTAATTTTTTTGGATCACAGTGTGTGTAACCCCACAACATAGGGAAAATAGAGCTGGCTCAAAACATAACTTTTTCAAGGAGTCATTTTCCAAATAAAATCACCTTAAGGGTTTGTTTCACTCAAGAGAGAAAATATTTTGTCAAGCAGAATTTTAGCATCAATTAATTATTTAAAATTAATTTAAACTATGACATAATGCAAACAGTGTCAACTACTGTCTTTCCTATTGCAACCTGATGTCTTTCATATTGCAACCTTCTAGGCCTTGTTCGGAAACAACGTTTTCAATTTGCGTTTGCATTTTGGATAAAATTTTAATGGTATAAGTTAATTTTGAAAACGTGAACACTAAAGGCTACCAATAGATAGCCTTTTGAAAATGCTAACGCTAATTTCTAACGTTGATGCCAAACGGGGTCCTAGTCGAACAATAAAGAATAAGAAGAGATTCAAAATCATCAATGCCATTAGTTTATTCCATTTACTTAAAGAATATCATGAGACAAATGAGAGAACATAAAAGGCAAATGTAATGGAGTTAACACCTGTCATCCATCCTTGCTTGAGCCTCAACATAAGATAATGAAGCACATGATTTGATGACACTTTTCGTGTATCGTGTTGAAATAATCTCAGCCTCAGGCGTCATTTCCTGAACATTAGTGTGGAAATAACAACAAAACAAAAAGGAGGTACTAAATGCAAGTTTCATGAAGGAAAAGAAAAAAGTACAGACTCCATAAACGAGAACAAAATGTCCATAAACGAGAACAAAATGTCATAAGTTATCTCTCTACCAAATGGGTTCAGGTTGATCATTGATGAGGGGATGGCTATATAAGGAGAAAAACTCATGATAAATGGGGAAATTAAAACAGAGGATGGAAGTACTGTATTTAGTTTGGATAAACTTATAATGGAGCACATTGTAAATGATAAAAAATTTCCAATGTTTGGATTAGAAAATAAATAGAGGGAGTGATGACTTCAAATAAAAACTGAAGCATTATTTTTAAAATTTGGCACTTCCCTCTCCTTTCATTTGACCTCAATTTCAAGGGATGCACCCATCCATCAGCTTATAAATTCATTAATGGATCATTTACTTCATCGCTACACCAAAAAGGAGTGTGCCCCTTTATTACCATTTATCACTCCCACCTGTCAATCATCTCAACTCAAACATACAGATACCCAAGACAATTTCCATCAAACCCATGATACCAACTCCTACCTTACTCCCACATGGATTGGGTTTGTATGTTAAGTTCTCAAAAAATATGTGTCGTAGGCCAGCTGGAATATTAATGAAGTGTATTTCTTTCCATATTTTCACAGGATATTAAAACCTGCATTCCCACTAAACTTCAAAAAATGTATTCCAATTTTTTTACAAATAAAATCTTGTATGTAATTGCACATCAATCTAGTAGGGGACGCATATCTTCCCAAGGTGGAAGTCCGGTTACACCAAGGAGGCAAGGATCTATATTGAGCCCACTCCTCTCTGTCATATGCTTGGATGTTATTTCTAGATTGCACTACCTTGCACTGGTAGCTGATGCAAGAGGGGGTAGATTTTGAGGTAAGCACTAGAGATTATGAGGTTTAGCTGATGCACTAGAGATTTTGAGCTAAGAAGCAAGCATGAGAGAAATTGGACACATGAGAAGCATTCCCAGAATTCAAGCTTGAGGACAAGCTTGTTGTCAACCGAGGGAATTATGTTAGACATAGTTATGAAAGGCGAAAGGCAGGGGAGGGCGAGAGGACCTTTTTTGAGGTAAGCGGTTAAAAGGCAAACATGTGTGTGTATGCGTGTGCATGTGTGTGTGTGTGTGTATTCATATATATGTATATTTATATTTGTGTGTGTGTGTGTGTATATCTATATATGTGTGTGTGTGTGTGCGGAAACTGTTATACAAAATAATACTCCCTCCGTCCAATAATTTCTTTCCCACTTTTCTTTTTGGGTTGTCAAAAAATTTTTTTCCCGTTTCCTATTTTGGCAAAAAAAACTTATAAGGAATGTACCATTACACCCCCACTTTTCATCTACACTATTCACTTTATTACATCACATCAAGGGCAAATATAGAAAGTCTTTACTTTTTTAACTTCTCTTAATCTCCGTGCCAAGTCAAAACGAGAAAGAAATTGTTGGATGGAGGGAGTATCTATTAAATTGTTGGATGAAACTGGAAGGAACTAGAAGAAACTGGGAGGAACTGGAAGAACTGGAAAGAACTCGAAGGAACTGTAGAACTGGAAATAACTGGAAGGACCTAGAAGGAACTAGAAAAAACTAGAAAGAACTGGAAAGAACTGGAAAAAAATGGAAAAACTTCAAAAAAATTGGAAAACCAAAAAACTTTTAAAAAATTTATTTTAGTGTATTTTTATATTATTCTCATTCTAATTCTTGTTGTTATAAATTATTATTATTATTGTTATTATTATCATTATTATTATAATCATCATCATCATGTTATCTTAATGAATGTTTTTAAGATTAAAAAAACAAAAAAATATTGTTATTTTTCATACACAAAAAAACTACTTTTACAAAAAAAAATTATAATATAAAATTAGCATATTTATTTTAAAAAGTTATCGTGGTTACGTTGCACCCAATTTATTTATGCAGTATTTATTATAAAATAATATATTTGTAATTATACTTTATATATTACAAGATTTTGTTTTAAATATCAAACATATCATATAATGTAATCAAACCTATTTTTTCTTTCATGATTGTCATTTTATTTTTATGCTTTACTCTTATTTTAGTCTTTTTCTCTAAACTATTTTGACTTTCAAAATTTTTTATAACAATTTGAAAAATAAAAAACAAAATTAAATTTTGAAATAAATAAAAATGAGAAAAAATTGAGTAATATAGGGAAAGGTAAGGGGTCTTATATAAAGTTTGATTAATAAAACATTCTATGTAACTATTTTATCCATAAGTTTTTAATATAGTATAAAATATTGATGCTTTCCTATTTTATCAGGTAGATTAATGTACAAAAAAATTATCTTATACATGTTAAAAAGTTGAAGAAAAAATAATTATGAGTGTGAATCGTAAAAATAGTGAGATGAAAAAAATTGTTTATAAAATATAGTTATGAACATTATAGTTGTAATAATAATAACAATAATCATAATAATCATAATAATAATCACATTAAAAATATATCATTTTTAGAGTAATTGGTTGGGGAGTAGAAAAAGTTTGAAGAAAATGAGAATAGTTTGAAGAAACTGGAAGGAACTAGACGAAACTGGAAGAAACTGGAAAGAACTGGAAAAAACTAGAAGGAACTGGAAGAAACTGGAACAAAATGGAACAAACTGGAAGTTAAAAGCTTAAGCACTAAAGAACATGCTCTAAATATAAAATATCTCTTCGCACTTCATTTGCTTCTTAAAAAACCTCCTTAGAATTGTATTTCTACTCCTTAGAGTAGAGGGTAAGATTGTATATCTACTCATTAGAGTAGAGGTAAGGTCTGCGTACATCTAGCCCCTAAGGTGGGATATATTGTAATTGTTTGATTTGGTTTGGTTAGGTTTTAAATGCACGGAGATTAAAAACATTTCGAAAGTTGGTTGGAATAATACATTTCATATGCATTTCTCTCTTACTCTTTTCTGAAGTTAATTATTGAGCTACTCGACCTACTCCTATCTTGAAATTGAGAGGATGAACTTTTAAACAGATATTATGTTAAAAATGGAAAATTAACTGGAGTATCATTGTGTGATGTGTCAAAATAAATACGAGTCTATCTTTGCGGGACCGAATGAACCGCACATAGAGAATCAACAAAGCATTCAAATATGGTCAAGTAATTTACCCAAAATTATATCCATAACTAAGATCAAAATTCTAAACACAGAGAGAACTTCAAGCCAGTAAAAGGCATAGAGCATACCCAAATTACTGAAAAAGCGAGTCTTTCAACATCAGCCCGGAGTGAACAAACATCTGAAAGGGAAAAATGATATAGTAGATAAGTGAACATTTTAGCCAAAATGCATGCCTTATAAAATAAGGTGTTGTCAAGAAACAATCATACAAATATAGGTGAAGGATTACATTCCTTATGTCAAGCCAGACAGCCAGTACATAATTCCAGAATAAACTTACCTTCTGTTAGAGGTTTCGGAAGCATGTCAATGCGGCGCTCCACAAGGTAGACAGAAGTCCCCCTTTGTGAGGCTTCCTGATCAAGGGGGGTCCCAGGATGAACGAAGTTGGTGACATCAGCAATATCTATAATCCATGAAAGGCCAGGCATAATATGCATTTGGTTAAGTGGTTAATGAACATATCTGAAGCTTTAAAAGGATACGAACTCCAACTTCAAAATTCCCACTCGGAAGAGGAGTGCAGTGCAATGCATCATCAATATCCTTGCATCCTGAATCAAACAGAAGAATTTGTGATCTAAGATAGATGTTACGAAAATTGTTTTAAGATTTATATGAGATATGAGCATGCAAACTAAAAGTTGTAGTGGAATTCTAGCTTATCAGGGCCTAATACCGGGAGGATCCACACTAAAGACACGCAGGTGACGTAAATCCTGCCTTATAGGGTTAGCTAAATCTTCAGAGGACACAGACCAAGGTAATGGTGGCAAGCATGCTAAAACTTGAGCAGAAAATGGTCTAGCGTCAATATCATTCTCAATTAAAACCACCTGAAATAATCAAGTTTTGAGCCAAATTTAGAACCTCTAAAATCAGGTTACTGCTAGCATTAAGGTGATTCATGAAATCTTGCTGGAAAACAAAATTAAAAGGATCATAGTTGGTATCCAGAAGTATGCAACAGAAATTAATATTCTGATATCCAAATAGTGTGAAAAGAGACATTTACTCCATCCGTCTCACAAAAGTTCTCACTTTTGTTTTTCGTTTGTTCCAAAATAAGTTTTAATTTTTCCCATTTAAGAAAATAAAATGTTGCCCAAAATGTTTCTCTTTTAAACAAATTATAACCACTCACTTTTTACTATCCAACATCTTTTCAACACTTAATCTCCATGAAATCAAAGTGAGCAAAATAGTTTGTGGCTTAAGGAGTATTAAATACCTCAGTTTCTGTGTCTCTGTCACCTATTTCTCCTATTGTTCTAACATAATGACCAGAAGGATATCTAGATAAAACATCCCATGAATCAACAGCAACAATGATCCGCTTGTCCAGCAGATTTCCCAGCTGTCGAGTCTGTATTCGTATCTTGGGTATTCGGCGATCTTTGGAGATAAATAACGCATGAGCAACTCCAGCGGAACCAGCAGGAAGAGGCATGGGCTCCAAAGATCCACAATAGCTGGATGCAAGACATTTTAGAGGTTAGACAAATCAACCACCAAGCAGATTATAATGCAAATGTTTCAAATACTTCCAGAAATTTTAAGAAAAAAGTGTCCACTCATAGTGAAGCTGGTTGTATGAAGCAAGCAAATAACATTTGAAAGGCTACTAGAAAAATTGCTCATTAAAGAGATGCCACATGCACCGGGACAGATGCTTAATTTACAAATACTTGTTTTGCATATTTCAATGCATAATTTTGTCAGCTATAAACTGATACCTCACATAATGCACACTCCATAGCATTTTAATTATTAAATAACAATATTCAACAGCCACTAACGTGTCCAAAATCATATTCCATTATTACTTACAAATGCCAATTCTGGCTTATAATAAACCAAGACAGATGCTTATATTACATGTTTCATACTTCCTCCATCCCATAAAGATGTTTCTGTTTTGACTATTAGGAAATTTAAGAGAGGGATAATTTTGTGTTGACTTTACAAAAATACCCTTGATGTGATGGGTAAAAGTAAGATGTGATGGGTAGATTATCAGTAAAAAGGTATGATGTGATAGGTAGGTTAAAAATTAATAGGGATAAAAGTGGTTGTTTAATAGAAAAGGGAAGGATTTTGTGGGACAAGAAAAAAGAAAGAAAGGTGAAAGAGTTTTTGGGACGGAGGGAGTATATTTCAATGTGTAGTTTCGTCAACTGTAATTGATATCTCACAAATGCACATCCCATAGCATTTTAACCATTAAAAAATTTCAACAGCTACTAACATGACCAAAATCATAATCTATTATCACTTACGAATGCCAGTTCCGCTTTATAATACCAACAACACGTCCAGATGGACGTGAAGCCACGTCATCCACTTCACTAGCTGAATTCTTCCCTAGATCTGAGACCCTCGGAGCATCATCAGCACTGTTGGGAACTAGATGTATGTCTTCTTCTTCATCATCTACTATTATCGTTAAATAATTTGAGAAGAACCAGAACACGGAAATGAGTAAAGAACATTTTAAAAACGCAGATAGTCAAGATAACAATGATCATAGCATGAAATTGGCAAAATAACTACTCCCTCCATCCCAAAATCATCTTCTCATGTGAAAAATAGCACGAAGATTGAGAGTGAAAGGAAAATTATTCAAATGTCCCTACCAACATCTTGAATTTAGAAAAGATGGAGTAAAAGGTAGTAAATATGTAGGTTATTGAGGATAAAGTGTCTTTATTAAGAAAAGTAAAAAGTACAGAGTATGTGCTAAAAAGAAATGAGGTGATTTTAGGACATCCTAACGTGACAAGTGGAATGATGATTTTGGGGGAGAGAGAGCAATATGGAAATGCAAGAACTTCCAAACAGAGGTTATCACTTTGCTATGTTTTTGGTTCAATGGTATTTGATCATTGCTTCATCAGATGAACTGATCATTGCCAACCTTTTCCCTAAGTACTATGCTACCAAAAGTATACCAAAATCACTTTTCATTTGAAAAAATAAAAGGATTCCACAAACCAACCATCATCGGCTATTGCAAGAGACTTCTCCTCTTGCCATTGTTCGCGAGGCAATATTTCAACTACCACCACATCACCGTCAAAAGCCCTATTCATATTTGCACGCCCATAAACAATTATCTCATCACCAATACTTTCACTACCAACATAAGCTTCAAATGGGTTATAGCGGTTAACGCGAAGTTTTCCTTGATAATACAGCCCACGCTCCAATCCAGAAGTAATTTCTGACATGCGTTTATGCTACATGTAACACAAATAGCAAGAAATTTAATTTATACAAACACATAACTAAGGATGGCATACAAAACATTACAAAGGCCAAACAAGGAAAAAAACATTAGTTGCAATACCTCATTGTAGATGACCTTCTTCTTTGAAGGCCTGGGGTCCTCGACATCATCCATATTAATATCTTCTTCACGAGGCTGAACTATCAAATCAAGCAATTCTAGGCGACCAAGTGATCTAACATATGATTCCACTGAGACAAGTGAAATTAAAAACTTTTAATGGATTATCCGTAAATAATTTAAATTTTAAAGTTTTAATACAACAACCGAGTGAATGAAACTGTGCTAAATTAAGGGGGAAACATAAACTACTACTAAAGAAGAAAAAATACTCCCTTCGTCCATTTTTGATCTCCTGTAAATGCTCACGAGTCATACGATGAAGTTATGGGAAAGAATGGCTCAACGGAGGTTCAAACAAGAGACTTCGGTGTCAGAAAACAAATTCAGTTTTATGCCAGGAAGATCAACTCCAGAGGTTATATACTTGGTGAGGAGAATGATGGTGCCGAAGTGAGAAGAAAGATTTACGCTATCATTGATTTGGAAAAGGCATATGACAGGGTGCCAAGAGAAGTATTGTGGAAGGTGTTAGAGAAAAAAGGAGTAAGGATTGCATATATTCGTGCGATTAAGGACATGTACAATGGTGCTACGAGCATGAGAAGTCACAGTGGGGTAAATTGGGAATTTCCCATCAGTGTAGATTTACACCAAGGGTCCTCGCTAAGCCCATATCTTTTTACACTAGTATTGGAAGTCCTTACCGAGCATATCCAAGAACTCGTACCATGGTGCATGCTTTTTGCCAATGACATCATCTTTATGGGCGAATCACGAAAGGATTTGAATGGGAAGTTGGATTCATGGAGACAAGCTTAGGAGTTGCATGGCTTGCATATAAGTCACACTAAAAGAGAGTATACGAAGTGCAAGTTTAGCAACAGAATGAGAAATAGTAGCATGGAGGGGAAAGCCAAAGAAAATACTATACCACATGTAAAGAGATTTACATATCTTGGGTGTATCATTCAAGACAATGGAGAAATAGAGGATGATGTTAAGCACAAGATTCAAGCCAGTTAGTCAAAATGGCATAGTGCTTTGGGCTTTATATTTGATAAAAAAAGGGTACCTTTAAAACTAAATGGAAAATTTTACCGTACTGCGATTAGACCAGCTATGTTGAAGCAAAGGGTGAACAAGAACACAAGGTTAGTGTGGCCAAAATGAAGATGCTTCGATGGATAAGCGGTCGTATGCATATGGATATGAGAGCTAAAGTTAGGGTGGCACATGTTGTAGAAAAGATAGTGGAAACTCATCTTAGGTGGTTTGGACATGTAGAAAGAAGACCAATAGAGCATCCAGGGAGAAGGATTAATCAAATGGTAAATAGACATGTGGCTAGAGGAAGAGGTAGACCTAAGAAGACTTGGCACGAAGTGGTCAAGGCAAACCTTTACGTAAATGTGATAGGGCACAATGGCGTCATTTGATCCATGTAGCTGACCCCACCTAGTGGGATAAGGCTTTGTTGTTGTTATTGTCCATTTTTATCTCCCTCTTTCATTTTTTGTTCGTCCGTAATTTATCTTTCCATTTCCTTTTTTGGCAATTTTTATGCAAAATGTCCCAATTGCCCTTTCAAATGATTCCTTGTCCTCAACCCCACCTACTACCACTACGGCCTAACCCCTTCTTCCACCTACATCAACATCTTCTTCCTTTCATTTGTACGTATTATTCACCCCTCCCAAACCTCAGCTTTTTCTTTTTGTCTTCTTCTTTGAGTATGAATTTTTAAGTTCATCAACCATGGCGTTAGAATTCACAACCAATTCCAAGTCATTTGATTCTTCTCATCCCCCCTCTCTGAAAAGCTTAAAGCCGGTCTCTCCTCTTGAAGAATGTCAAGACCTGCGGAAACAAAAACTGGAATGGATCTGAGGATGTAACATTGTAACCCTTGTTGGATTTGGATGGATCTCACCAGGTCAGAGCATATCTTTGTCAGGTCTAAGGACACCAATCTAGACCTGAGATGGAGACGGTGAGCGGTGATGGTTCTGGTGGCGGAGTAGGGCAGTGATCGATGGTGGCATTCTGTGAAGGAACAAGTCTGAAGATTCAGGAGTTTGGGATGGGCAGACCAAAGGGGGTTGGTTGGGGGTAGTTTAGGAAAGTCAACTGTATTTTCATTCCACATAAATTTAAGCACCGAGTCAAAGCAAGAAGATAAATTTTGGACTGATGGAGTACTATAGTTTGAGTATAGTTGCTTCTGTAAAAAAAGGGTATGAAATTATGAATGGTAACATTGTAGGAATATAGTGGTATAAAAGCATAGTACATAGTACAGAGAATTAGCATGTGAAGGTAAAAAAGAAAAATGGGGGTTGCTTAAAATTAGAAATGAAGCATCGCATCCAAAAATGCCAAAATAATGAAAGTAAAAGTGTACCTTATCTCGAGGTTGGATTTTTTAATTATACGTAACAGGACAAAAACACACATTTTACTATAGGCTTATAATGCATTGGTAAGATTGATAATACAGTTTTACAGTAAATATACAGTACCAAGCATTTATTCACGAAGTCATTCTATAATAAAAGATTAGAATGGGCACCAGTTTCTGCGGCAATTCCTTCTTCAGAAGCCTTTCTCTTATTTTCCCGATCATTAGTGATAAGCAATACTTGTAATGTAGCTCCAAGATGATTCTGATACCATTGACTTGCAACCCTTATGGCTATACGATCCAAATTTAAAAATAAAGAACTGCTCAATGAATATAATTACACTAAGAAGAAGAAGAAGAAGAAGAGAAAAGAGTACCTAGATATCAAGTCCTAAAGCCTACTACTCCACGTATTTTCAATAATTGAATCACAAATAAATAAATTCCTATTTTACCCCAGGTACAAGGGAAACTTTTCAATTCCACCCACAGGATAACAACACAACTATGCATTGAAATCATTTGAATGTGACAGGTGGCAATCTAACATTGCCGGCCTGTTTGGCCATAGCTTTAGAGGTTAGAATCAGCCTTTTGAAAAGACTATCTAACAGCAGCATTTAACTTTAGCATTATAAAAATCATTCTGTACCATTACAATTTTATCCAAAACGTTAATAATAATCGAAACTGTTGTTCCCAAACAAGGGCTACATTGTAACAGCTTGTCCCTTTCAAGCCGCTGATACAAATTAGGTTAGAATATAATTCTGATTTGCCTACAAATTCGGCAGGGGTTGTTAGATCATGTAAAGCACAGGATGCTTCGTCACCGTGTTCTAGTGCACAGCCCTTGTCTAAGTTTCATATACTTTTGAGACACTTACAGCATGGACTAGGTCATCTCTCAAAAGTAACTCTTGTTGATTACTTAACTGGACTTGAACAGTCACGATTGGCATGTCCAATTAACTTACTTGTCACGACCACATACTTGAAAATTTTAAATATCACAAGACACCATCACAGAACAATTGTATTTAAGGCTGCTATGCACATTAAAAAAGTACTATCACTCAAACTAAGCAAGACAAAGTTATAGAATACAGTAATAATGCAACATAGCAAAGTAACAATGAGCAATAAGAAGTATTTGAAATGCAATATCATTATTTTTTTCATGTAAAAACGGACCTCTGTCATTACGATCATTTGGACTTTCACCAGGCATGGCCCTCACATATGTATCCCTTCATGATCATTAGAAAAATTATAATGTCAATTTCTACATTACCAATGTTTATAAGATTAAAATATGGACAGCTCCAAGTCATATATCATGAGACTTTGATTTATCCTGCCCACCCCCACCTAGCCTACCACCAACACTGTTTTCCTTTAGCAAATTAGTGGTGGCATTATAAATAAATGGGGTAAAGATTGAACAGAATGTTGAGATATGTGATGCTGAATTTGGCCACAGCCAATAACAGACCTTTACATAAGCTCATTCTATAAAATGCAATTAAAAGTCAAAGAAAACATGCATTTCAGTTTTGAGTCAACAATAATAGCATATGAGACGTACTTGTGGTATTCATTGGAAAAAACAAAGAACTTCCTGAGGGAATTGCTACATAGAGCTCTGAGTCTGTTATAAACAGAAATATTCTTGTTCTTCACCTCCTCCAAGACCACCGATAGCACCACCACATTATCGATGGCTGGATTCTCCAGCAAATCAATCTAAGTTCAAAATTAAGCAAAAATTGCAAACAAAAATAACCCACAAGTTGCAAACAAAAAATAATATGCACAGTTAAACCGCGGGAAATATTTCAACATAACAACTGAGACCTGATGTAGAACAACATTAGTGTCAACAACGAGGATATGGGATGCGGCAGAACTCAATCGAGCTGAAGAAACATCGCATGAGCTACAAAAAGTGGCTCCACAATAGATATCATCACGGAGATAGTGCTCTCTTACAACCTACGATTAAAACACATAGAATTATTAAGATAAACCCTAACCTTCACCTCCCCTAATAGTGCCAATCCATTTGAAACTTGAAAGTCAAGAACTCACCTTGATTACTTTCCCCTGCTTCGTTTTCCGCACGAATGATTTGCTCTGCAACATCTTCAGAGCTACACCAAAAACTGGACACGGGGGGAAATATACTCACAAGAGCAAAGAGGGCGAACGGGGGCTATTTGGAGCAGAAAAGATGGGTGTGGGCGCGGGGCAATTCCTGGGATGATGGATACTGCCACGGAATCAGAAGGGTGAGGCGATTGGGGAAGAATGAAAGAATAAGGGGGATGTATTCAATTAGGATTATGAAAGATTTAGATAGATTGTTTAAAGTCTCTTCCTATCACTTCTTCTTCCATTCATCTATATGACCAAGCACATATAAAGTAAAACTAACCACTTCTTTACACATGCAACACCCTCAGGCGAAGTCCTAAAATAAAAACTTAGGACATCTATTACACACAGCAGGTACAGAAACAATGTAGGGACTTTAGAAACAACAAAATATATCATTACTAGTACAAACCATAACATTAATATTACGGAAGTAGGGATTAACAACATACAAAAAAAGGTAGGGACTATATCTCTAACAAGTCACATCATTAAAGTCGTGAAGCTATGTAGAAATTTACAGCTATGGGACAAAACATACGGACTATGTTATGCAAAAGTTCAACATAGGGACTAAAAAAACTGATAATCACTTCAATAGCATGATTTTGAGCAAGAACTGATATGGAAAACCCTAGAAAAATTAATATGGAAAATCAATTTATCTTAGCCAAGTTTGAAGAATAGTAAATTAATGCTTCAAACTGGACAGATAACTTTTTCTAGGAGAACCACCTTTGACTTCTTTTTTTCAGGGGAACTACCAAAACAGTGAAACACAACCCCTTTAGCCACGCACATTAACCATCAAGCATATCAACTGGTTGTATACAAATAAATATCATCACAATATACTGACATTATATTGAAAAATATTGAAAATTGAGTGCTATAATTTGTTTGGTCGCATTTTTACATATCTTTTTTCCAAAATGGAAATAGAAGTCAGACTTTTTTAAGTAAGGATTTGAGAAAGAGATGCAAATCAGAAAGCCTAAGGAGATGAAAACGAGATTGAAGGAGACAAATAATGATTTTCATTACCTTGTTAAAATAACCTATCGCCGGCTGTAGTAATCGACGACCTCGGAATCTGTGACAGAGCTGGAGTGTTGAACAAGGGAGCGCCCGATGGAATCACTTTATCTTGAAGGCTTGTATCCGATTTGCAGAAGAACCAGTGCCGACGGGGAAGGAGATCGAGAAGCTGAGCTCGGAAGAATAGAAGAAGAAATTTTCGAAGAAGGAGATAGAGAAGGTTGAGACAGCCTTGACTCGTGAAAATACCTGCTGTTTTGGTTGGATTTCAAAACAAATTTTTTATTTATACTTCAAACCAAAAATCTATTAGAATCCATTATTCTTAACTTTTCAATATCATTAGATTTAAAAAGATTTTTTAAAATCTCAATTGAATATCTCTAAAATTTAATTGATTTTTCAAAATCCTAATTGAATACTCATTGACTTTTAAAATTCAAAAAAATCTTACAGAGTCTGGATTGAATACACCCCCTAAGATACAGAGTAGAAAGGGTGAGGGTTGCCTTTTTTCATTCGACTCGGGTCATTTTCTTTATTTTCTTTTTTCAAGCCTTCTCTCTCTTTTTTTTCAATTCTTACCTTCTCCACAAATAAATTTCACATTTTCCTTATTTGTTTGTCTACAAAAAAAAACTTTCCATTTCTTGGCAAAAAATTCTGTATATATATAAAGCAGACTCCGAGCTGCAGGAATGCGACATTTGGCGAAGCTGTGGCGGGACATGTGGCGAAGCTGATGTATCATTTTTTTAGAAAACTAAAATTGATGTGGAAGTTGAGCTGTCAGGAAACCTAAACCACTGTTTCTTCGCGATTTGGAGAGAGTCGCACGCATCTTTCCTTTTCTTCCACAATTTTCTTTCATCATCTCCTTTCCTTTTCTGGGCGAAATCGAACACAGAGCAAAGAGATAATGCAAATTTCATTCCGTAACAGCCACGAACCCAACGATTCTTTGCAATTATAATCGTTGAATGATTCCAACGTATCAATGGCAGCCAATTGATATCAATCACAACCCAATTTCCGGCATATGAACGATTTTTTCGTAAAATCAAGTATTCTTTTCTTCAATTTATTTACTACCAAGCATTATTCTTGGGAAATTTTGCATTAATGTTATTTTCCCCAAATTGTTAGGGTTCTTAATTCTTTCCCCAAATTGTTATGTTTTATATTATAAAGGATTCCACGTCTTATATAGTTTATATACTCCACAACTTCTCATTCAAGCACACATTCCTCTCAATATTAGTCTCATATACTCATTGCTTTATTTTTATTTTTCCCATGGCAAAAACTATTCATCCATTGTCGAAGATCAACCCTGCGAGAGAATGCTGGAGAGTTATGGTTCATGTCGTGAGGCTGTATACGTTACACACATTTGGTGATGAGAGAACAACAAACTCGATTGAGATGGTCTTCATGAATGAACATGTAAGTCCTTCTACAAACTCGATTGAGATGGTCTTCATAATTCAAACTTGGTTGTGAAAGACTTAAGGAAAACACAAACCAATTTAATTCATTTTAACTATAAGATAAATAATTAGATGTAAAAGACTCTAAGTTACAGTCAGAAAGATTGTTTGAATGAGTTTGAAAACTGGATCAAGAACACTGCCCATTCCCAATATTTAAAAACCCTTCTATACCTCAATGCTTAAAAACCCTTCTATAATAAACTTTAAACTTTTCTCTTTAAAAAAATGAATATAGGAATCAATATCTTTCTTTGTTTTTCAATCAAATTTCTATCACACACTCACTCTTTTGGAGATGGAGGAAGTATTTTTTATTTTTTTGAATCACATCCATATTTTTCTACAGTATAAAAAATGTTTATTTCATATTCTTTGTTTTTTCTTCTAAATAAATTTAAACCATAAAAGTACATATCTTTAAAATAAGGGTGTACAATGTACATTCACCCACAGTTGACACCAATCAATTCCGGATGACACATATTGTGAATATGTTCCTACTTTAAGCCTTAAATATTTCTTAAGCTTGTACACTGTTTTTTTGTCATTTTTTCCCATTCAGTCGTCCCAATTTTTTTAACTCGCCAATTTTGGTATTATGCACTCCTAAGTTCTACACGGCTCATATCAAAATATATACTCTATTCATTTAACAACAAACACTCAATATTTTTCTAATTTTTCTAAATTATTGCTCCTTCTTTGTTAGAAGTTGATGTGAATTGGTCATGTGGTCTTGACAAGAGCACTATTTTAATCATTGATGGATATAATTTTAAATTATGCAATGTTATAAGACTTCTTTATTAGGGGGCATGATATGTGTAAATTTTTCAAATGTTTTCACAGTTTAAGGTTGTGCATTTTCTTCTTTTCACTATTTAACTTTCATCTTCTTCATGGATAATATAATGATTATGATCCTTAACTTTTTAAATTTTTTATATCTAACGTTACGATACGATAGAAGTGGATATGTGAGTAGATATGATAACTCACTCTATAGCATCTAATGACTTAAATAACATACATTGGAGAGTTGCAATTTCAAAGGAACAATATGTAAAGATTCAAATGTTATTGGATCGTCACAAAGAGACTTTTTTTCCAAGCTTTTGACTTTTGGTTCACTCTATAGCTACTTTGTAGAAGCAGATTGCAAAACCCCTTTTTTTATTTTTTTTATTTCAATGAGTGCTGATTTTTGAGTGATAACATGTAGGGAAGTACAATTCATGCTACGGTTCGAAAAAGTTTGGTTGAAACATTTGGGAATCGGATAAAGGAAGGTCCGGTGTATCTGTTAGCTTATTTTGGCATAGGCAACAGTAGTGGGTATTATCGCACGTCAAGGCTGGAATTTAGGCAAAACTTCTAGCCAAGAATAACAATCACTGAATGTAGTTGCGAGAAGATTCATGTATATGGTCTAAAGCTAATTGTCTTTCCCGATCTTCAAGGCATATGTTAATTACTTAATTATCCCTATTTAATTGGTAATGCACACTTACTTTCCCTAACACATTTATTTAAACTTTTAACCAATATATAACTTTTTAATTCATTACGGTTACTTTTGCAAAATATTTCAGACACCATGGGAACATTAACTTCTATCAATAAGAAAAAGGAAATAGTTAATGAGTTAAAAAACAAAAATGATTGTGATCACCATAGAGGGTGAAGGGTACTGTATTACTATTTTGTGCTTATAACAGACACTTATATGTATTATTGATTTTGTGTTTATGATTCATTATGTGTGTGTGTGTGTGTGTGTATATATATATATATATATATATATATATATGGCACATTAGTATGAAGTTGGATGTGACTCTATTTGGGGAGCATGTTGACATGGTTAAGAGCTTCTTCCAAAAGCAGCCATCATATGATGTTGTTATTGTGATTTAATATGCCAAAGTGAAGACATTCCAAGGTATTAGTAACATATTTACTTCGGAAAGATGATTTTTTTTAAAATTATTGTTAATACACTATTATTCAATTTAAACTAACACATAGTGGTTAGCAGGAAAAATTGTTCTACAGAATGTTATGTACGATACCCGTCTTCTTTTGAATCTAGATGTAGAAGAAGTCACCACATTTAGAAAGTGGTAGGTCCATGCATCTCTAACAGATCGTGCCTTATAAATTTTTAGAGATATAATTGAAATTGTTCGCTCACTACATTGTTATCATAAAAAACCTTTCATGCAGGAATTCTGGAGTAACAGCGCAAGGTAAACCTCTAAAGTGGACAGGTGACAACGTTAAAAGTTCTTAGTTCCTTGATACAACCCGATCGATGGTGATATCTCAACTTAAGGCATGTCTTAAGGTATTTTTTTCATTCTCTTAATTTGTGGTCATTGAATAATGTTGTATATATAGAACATGGAATCAATAATTATTATGTGGTTGTATATAAATGATGTTATTGAGCTATAATAAATATTTCATTTGTAATTGAAACATGATTGTTCATACGTTGTTTATGGGACCATTGTGGCAGTCAACAATAGCGGAGATTGGTGGTATTTAGCTTGCAAGTGTAATAGAGCAGTGTAACTGGATGGTGCCACGTTTTATTGTGTGCACTGCATTTGTCGTGTTCTCAATGTCACTCCACGGTTAAGATTATAATCTCTTCACTTATCTTACAATTGCTCACCTATGGATAATTTTTGACTGTTGTGATACCTTTTTTTATAGATATTTAATCAAGCTCACCGTCATAGATGATTCCAGGCAGACTACCTTTGCTTTATTTGACCGTGAGGGAACCTCAATTCTAAATACTTCATGTGCCATTTTTCTTGATAAAGTTGATTATGTAAGTTCTCATATTTTGTATAGTTTTGGCATCATGAAAAATGGTTGTTTATTTTCTCTGAAATATCAAATAGTAATATATATTTAAACAGATGAGACCATGTAACACCCTCCGTCCCGCGAACCCGATTCGCCGCGGCCCAACGAGCCGGAGAGGTTACATAGACGGCTTTTGGGACCATCTACAAGAAAAACCCTTGCATTGCTCTTGTAACTGAAAACTATTAATATGCTTTATTAAATATAAATAAAGTCACTAAAGGAAACGTTTCATAGCAGAAGGAAATGAAAGTATTAAACGTTAAGTCTCAAATAAAGAAGTGCAACAATGGTGGGTTCAAGCCCAAAATATTTTTATTATTAAATAGATAATGAATACGGTCCCCACTGTTGTCGATCCGCTGCCCCGATCTCCCAATCATCCGGGCCAGGCTCCATGTTCGTCTTGCCTGCCTGCGTATAACAAAGACAACGCTGTACGCTCAGCAAAAGCTGAGCGGTAATCTAACAGTAGAACGCATAGTGCATTCACATTGATATAAACATAATTGTACCTGTACTAAAGTACGAGATACCACATACAAATTTGATGAATAGAAGTTTACGAATCAATAGTGATGCAATGCCAAATACTTCATGATGCGTGAGTTAGACTACACAGGGACCCCTGCCCTTCGGTAATCATCCCCACGCGGTAGATGAGCCGAGGAACGCCTTAGTCTTCCCAATGGAGACTAGATAATGTGGGTGATAGCTGAAGGCCTAGCTACCACGTACGTACACAAGCCCTCGTGATGAAAACCCGTTAGATCCCGCAGGCTCCTGGACGGGCCCGCGGAAGAGGCGCACAAGGCCTGACCTCTTGTCGTGGTATGCAAAGTATGCCATTATCCTAAACATGCGTCTAGGATATATATGAT